TTTGAGCCCTTCTCCAGGGTGTGTTTTATGGGAACCAAGGGATGAAACAATCAAGTCTGAAGAGTTACTAAAAAAATAACAGATTAGAAACTATGTTCTCAACTATGAAGGGAACAGGAAATTTTTTACTGATACCCTTATTATATGATGTTATCATAACGAGGTGTGTTTTATGGGAACCAAGGGATAAAACAATCAAGTCTGAAAAGTTACTAAAAAAATAACTGATTAGAAACTATGTTCTCAACTATGAAGGGAACAGGAAATTTTTTTATTATATGATAATATCATGTTATGATAAGAATTTAAATGACAAGATTACCCCAAACAGTTGCACAGTTCCATAATAGATGAGGATTTACTGTAACAGTTCCAGCAAAACCCTGATGTACGCTTACTGATGGTGCTATTCTATTGCACATAATGAAACATTTAATGCTAACAATAACAGCCTGAGTAGTATGGGCCTTATTTTATTTATCAAAAAGACACCTATCTTAGATGGATTATATGCTTCTAAGGTTCTCAAATGGAGGACCAGGAATGGACATTTCATAGAGATCCTCCCATGTCAATTAAACCACATAACCAATCAAATTAATCATTCTACATGACCTTCAGATTTGGTGCTTTCTTCAAAAGTTCTATGCCCACAGTGGCACTTTTCATTTCCTTTAACTGTAGCAGGATGCCAATAATCAGGTGAAAGCAGATATACCATCTGATGTCTATTTGCATCTTAGATGTCCCTAACTCTAGATCACAGAGACAAAGGTTATGTGCACAAGGAGATAAGACCATCTGGCACACATCTGGATGCCCCCAATCAGGTGCAGGGATTCAAGACCAATGATTATTACTACTTGACTATCTATTCACTTTATGGCATTGAGACCCAATGTTTGAAACAACTGGCTGTCCCATCAGAAAGGTGTACTCTGCTCTAGGATCGAGAAGGTTATAGCTAGTATCTGACCTAAATTGTGTCTTTCTCTTGACTACGGTGCTCATGAACCCTGACATTGTGCCTGTAGTGATTCATTACCATTTGCCTACACCCAAGCCACCTAGAACAGCACCTTCCACAGAGTCCACCTACAACTACTGCCAAAGCAGGACATTTTTGTCTTCCTTGATAGTGATGAAACTAGGATATCATCTAATGAATACCATTGGGCAACTCATTTTGCTCTCGAATGGCGTCCACAAACTTCCTGACAACAATGATTACATCTACAGTTCTATACCTAACATAGCAAATATGTTTTTCACATGAGCAGCTTCAACAAATTGTCCATGCATTGCAAGCTTTCTCAAATTCAGGTGCTCCTCCCTCGAGAGTCATGCATGAGTAAGCTAATTGACTCAGAATTTCTCAACTAAAATGATAGGTAAGCCTTCATTTCTCATCTGGTTACGATGAAGACTTCAAGTAAGGACAAGAAAACTCTGTACTTTTCAAGAGCACGGGTCATCTTGGATATCCATCCGACTTGTTCAAGCAAATAACTAGAGGTTTCCATGCTCCAGACTTCCACAGAGTGAGCTTTGTTGATTAATTTATTGACCAAGAGCATCCTGTTAGTTTTGATTTGTAACTGATGGGATCATTTGAAAGGTCAGTATAGAGAAGGAATTTAATGAGTCGAACTTTGATTCATGCAAGTTTCACTCAGCAGGGGAAGCTTCAAATTTTCAAGCACTAACAGAAATACATGAATTCACTTCATTGGCTTAAAAACAATTTCAAGGGAAGCCCATCTAGCAACATCTAGGTAGTTTCTAGATCTTTCTGGATCATAATACCATATGACAGAAGTATAGTTTGCTCCATGCATTGGTTCTGAAGTATAGTTTGCTCCATGAATTGGTTCTGAAGTTGGACTTTGAATTATTTGATTCACTAAGGTGCAAGATAATTCAATTCCATGCAGTTAGATGTAGTGACCCATGCCTCTCCTCTATCTAACAAGACTTTTATTAGTATGCTAGGTTCATTGACAATTTCCCTGTCAAAATATGGCTTTTATCCAACATAGCACACATCAGTCCAATACATGTTTTTCACACCAGTTTCTTTTGAAAATACGAAAGTTATTAGCTTGCACTCTAGAATGATTTCCAAGTTGTCCCTAGAAAATGCTGCATCAACTATCAATGCCTTCTTTGATCCAAGCACACGACTTGTAATGCAGTGATGTCAACTCATGCTCTTATTTAATTTTATTTAATGTTTTGGTATTGCCAGAACTTTATCAGAATGAGGATTGTCATAATAATCCCAGCAACATGGAAAAATTAGTGCAAATAAAAAAGTTAAAATAATTATGATAGTGCTATTCAATTTTATCAGATGTCTCCAGAGATAAATGAGGAAGTAGTCAAGATTGATGGCCAAGAAATATCTAAAAGAGGTTATTTTCAATATCTTGGGTCGATAATCCAGGAGGATAAAGAGACTGAGGAAGATGTCGTGCATAGAATTAGCGCTGGGTACGCAAAGTGGAGATATGTATCCAGAGTTTTAAGTGATTATCACATACCAATGAAAATAAAGGGGAAGTTCCATAGGACAATTGTAAGATCAAACATTGGCAAGAAACAACATAACCATAAGATCAGTGTAGCTAAGATGAGGACGTTGACACGGATGAATGGCAAGACAAGAAAAGGTAGAATTTGGAATGAATATATTCGAGAGAATTTAGTTGTGGCTTCAATAGGTGACAAGATGAGGAACAATTAACTTAGGTGGGCTGGCCATGTGTAGCGTAGACCTAATACATCACCGGTTAAGAGGTGCAACTTGGTTCAAGTGAAAGGCTCTAAAAAGGCAAGGAGAAGGCCCAAAAGGGACATATATGGAAGTAGTGAGAAAACATATAATAACATACGGACTTACTCAGGATATGGACCTTGATAGAGGAGAGTGGCATAACAGGATTCATACAGCTGACCCAAATAATTGTGATAAGACTTGGATAATGATGATGACGATGACAGTGTTATTCAAATTACCTCAAATTCCATGCTGCATGAATGATAGAATATTGAGAGGGACTGTCATTCCCTTCTAGCTATGTATAGAGCTACACTACTTGGTCTCCTCCAATCTCGGGAAACCGAAAAATAATGGACATGTTGCATGCAAGGCATGACTCACAGAGCAGCACAAATTACTATCACCCACAAATCCTAGTCAAGTTTTCTACAGAATGAAGCCAGGGGCACTGGCTCTGGGGTTCTTAATGCACTACAGCCCTTTCTCCAAAAGAAATACATGCAATTTCCATTTATCTAATTGAAATTTTTACAAACTTGTGACAGTATTTCAATCCTCATTCCTCAACCTACTCATATTTTTGTAATAAACAACTCTTCATATTGCTCTAACAAGCTTGTGCAATTTGCAGGGTGTTTGACTATAGAAAAAAATGGAGCAAAAGCTAGCAGGAACCAGACTGTACAAAAATTGAATCCTAGACAGGACTATAGAGGGTGGGATGAGGATGGGTCATGGAGAGGGATCTGTGAGTCACTGTTTCTTTTGCTAATCGGTCAGCTTCTAAACCAGCCTCTCACCATTTATGTCTAAAAGAGATTGTGGCATAGTTGAGATACTTGGTTGAAGAAACTCTCTAATCTCCATGGCCATGATGTCACGTTAAGGATGTTGCATTCGATAATGAGTGAAGGGCCCCAGCTTCTATCGAATATTTGCAAGCCTACAAGTAATGCATAAGATTTGGCATGGGATATGTTTACATTCCAGCAGGTCCAGAGTAGCATGTGAGGTCACCACTATAATCCTGTCAAAATACTTATTCTAATTTTTCACATTTAACTTCATCCATACTACTTTCAAGTCCTAAGAATCTCATCAAATCAAGTTCCGGATATTTGGTTATCTAAAAAGAAATTAGTTGATTTTTTTTCCCAATGAAACTGCACAACTCTGTCCCTGATAAAGGAAAACCCCACCTTCTGTTACAGAAAACCCTAAATATTAAGATACTTCAATTAAGGGGAGACTGAGAGAAATCAGATCGATGCTCTTGGTAAGGAAAAAGCATATTGAGAGCAAAGTGAATTGGAATCATTGAGAATGGGATGAAAACTGATGTAACAGTATGTGCACCTGATCAGAAAATGAATTCATCAACTTTCTTATCCTTTCATCTTTCTAAGGACACCCAGAAACATGACAATAGGAGCGCAATTCAAAAGTACGTCAATTCCTAGATTATGCCAAATGCCTATGTCAATCAAGTAAAATCTCGAAGAAAAGAAAAACGACAAGATTCAAGAATGTGGTAAACTTACAACATAAGGGTTGGGGTTGTCCATGAAGAGTGAATATTTCACTACCCCAAGGAATAAGTTAGTCTTGTTATAAAAGGTAGAATGTAGTTGTCTACCATTTTTTCATTAAAAAATAAAATCAAAAGGCATAATTTAGCTTTTTTACCATACAGTTTAGGTGAGGTGATTCCCTGCCTCCATGAGTTCTTGAGCTTATCCTGATTGAATTTGAAAGGATATGCTCTCCACCTCATTTTTAATCCTCTATTTCCAATTTTCTCGTATCGAATGAGAAGTGTCAATTTGAAAAGCATAGGACGGAAAGAAAGGGAAAAGATTTCAGGGCAAATAGCCACAAAAAAAAGGCATTCAAGCTTTAATTGATTGTTTCTCTAGTTCGACGGAAACACAACAAGCACCTGTATTTTGACTGTGAAAAATTCCAACATAGAAATTACACTAAAACTAAACATGGGAAATAAGAAATTCATTGCAATATTTAATGAAATCCCACCGTTATATATGATTTAATGTTATTCATTCAAAGCTCAAAACAAGTATTACCCACAATCGATATTCTAAGAAAACCCAAATGTACGAAATGAACTAAGGTATCAAGTGACTGAGCTATTGACATGCAACTAAGCTTCGAGAGCTCATTGGAGAGAGAGAGAAGAAAAAAAAAAGAGGCATCTCACAGGATTGGTGTGTGGTGAGGGAGAATGGAGCGATAAAAAGGTTTTCATAACCTTCTCACTGGAACTTAAGAGGTTCTTGAGCTTGTCCACTGCTGAAACCAGAGGGTGCACACAAGCCTTCTGCTCCTCGCCCCCCATGGCTTCTTTTTTTAGAGAGAGAAAGTAGAGAGAGATTAGACTACGAGAGGGCACACATTCTCGCTGCTTCGCTTTGAAGTGCTTCAATTTTGTTTTGCAATGCATTTGAACGGACGGCTAAGATTCACGTTTAACACCGGACTTAATTGGCAGTCACCGCACTTAAATTGTATTTGCATGATGGGGGCAGTTTGCATACGGATGCATCCGTATGTGTAGAGGTAAGGTGCACCTTCAAATTCTATCATGATATATAATTTTGATGTAAATGTTATTATAAATTTATTTTTATATTTAATTATAAAATTTTAAATTTTAAAAATGGTTAAAATTAAGTAGATCTATAAACATATGAAAGTCTTGAAAATGGACGGGACAGATAATATGTTGTAAATGCACTATTTTTTAGACTTCAAATCTTTTTATTTTTTTGTGATCATACATCTCGATGTCGAGATGATCAATCAAAAGGTTTTTCAATATTAAAACTATCTTTTTTGATGGATTTTTGAAGTGCATCCGTAGTTCAACATTATAAAGTTGCATTCTTATATAAACTTTTTCCTAGAATAATAGTCGGAGAGTTGTGGTTAAAATGTTCGTATTACAACAAGGCATTATTATTTTAGGGTGGGGTTTGTATGGAGGTGAGGCTCTAAACAATCAAATTAAAGCCCGCATTCAAATAGTATAGAGAAATGTGGTTTCAACACTAGAAATATTTGTGGTAACTTTAAAATATATTTTCATCTTTAATTATAAAATTTAAAACTTTAAAAATAGTGTAGATCGAACATATCTAGAAAATCTTGAAAATTGGTAGTTCAAAAATACGTTATAGGATACACTATTTTCAAATTTTGAAATCCATTTTTTTCTCATGTCTAAGCGTCTTGATGTCAAGATGATCTATTTAAGGATATTTGAGCATCAAAACATCAAGATGATCTATTTGAGGATATTTGAGTATCAAAACAACCTTTAGGGCGTGTTTGATAATAGGAACCAAGAACATGAACGGGAAATTGGAAGTTACTGAAGAACTGTAAATTAGAAGTTACTTAAAAAGTTCATAGTAGTGTATGATAACCTCTTGAGAAGTTAAGAAGTTCATAGTTTTAGTATTTGATAACTCTTGGGATATATGGTAAATATCTTATATTTATATTTACACAGATAATAATTTAAATAGAAATCTATAATATTTATAACATATTATAATATATGATATATTATATTTTATATTTATTTTTCATATATATATATATGAAATTATCTTATATTACATAAATATATATTTTATATATTATATATAACATAGTGCATTTTTTATTTTATTATATAAGATATAATAT